AGGGGCTGGTTGGAATCCCCTTCCCCGTGTCCCCCTGACACCGTGTGTGTCGGCAGGGGCTGGTTAGAGTCCCCTTCCCCGTGTCCCCCGTGTCCCCCTGACCCCACTCCATGTTGGCAGGGGCTGATCCAAATCCCCTTCCCCCGTGTCCCCCGTGTCCCCATGTCCCCCTGACCCCTGTGTGTGTCTGCAGGGGCTGGTTGGAATCCCTTCCCCGTGTCCCCGTGTCCCCTGACCCCTGTGTGTCGGCAGGGGCTGATCCAAATCCCCTTCCCCGTGTCCCCATGTCCCCCTGACCCCACTCCATGTCGGCAGGGGCTGGTCCAAATCCCTTCCCCGTGTCCCCGTGTCCCTGTGTCCCCTGACCTGTGTGTGTCATCAGGGCTGGTCCAAATCCCCTGTGTCCCCGGTGTCCCCGGACCCTGTGTGTCGGCAGGGGCTGGTCGGAGCCGCTGGCGCTGGGCTCGGGCGGCGGAGCCTGGGCGGAGCCGGAGCCGTTCCCGCGCCCGGCCGCGCTCCGCAGCAGCGGGGCTGGCAGTGGAGCGGCCCCACCGCGCCCAAACGCGCCAAACCCGGCCGGCACCGCATCGAGCCGCCCACTGGCAAGAGGTGAGGGGGCTGCGGGTGGGAGTGCAGGTGTGGGGACACACTGGTGATGCCAGCATCATCCCTCGCTCACATCCCCACCTTGCTTTTCCCACCCAGACCCCTGAGCTTCCCGGAGACCCCCCAGGCCGCCCCGTCGCGCGCTGGACAGCCCTACCGGCAACCTTCCGGAAGCTTCTCAGCCCCCGGCGGCGCCGGCACGGCCTACGCTCGCTACAAACCCTCCCCGGAGAGGTGGGAACGGGCACTGGGGGGGAATTTGGGAGGGGAACGCTGGGATTTTGGGATGGGGGGGTCATTCCTGAGTTTTCTTTGCCGGGGTAGGTACGGCGGGCGCTCGGCGTTCCCGGGGGAGCCGCACTCCGGACACTCCTCCGGACACTCCGGACACTCCTCCGGACACTCCGGACACTCCAGCCACGACGACTCCTCGTCCGGAGGAGGGATCAGCAGCCACGAGGGCACCATGGAGCGCCACAAACCGGGTACGGGAACGTCGGGAGGGCTCGGGATATCCTGGGATACCCCTTGGATAAGGGGGGGGTTATCCCAGTGATTTGGCGCCTCCGGAATTCCAGAGCCCCTCTGGCACGTCCCGGCACAGTCGCGGCTGCCCGGCGGGAAACGCCCGGGCCGGCAGGAGCCCGGCGGGAAGGACTCGCCCAGCAGGCATTCCAAGGTGAGCCGGGAGATCCGGGGATCCTGGGAACATCAGGGATCCTGGGAACATCAGGGATCCCGGGAACAGCAGGGATCCCAGGAACAGCAGGGATCCTGGGAACATCAGGGATCCCAGGAACATCAGGGATCCCGGGAACAGCAGGGATCCTGGGAACAGCAGGGATTTGGGGAGCTCCAGGGATTCTGGGACCACCAGGGATCCTGGGAACACTAGGGGATTCCAAGAGCACCAGGGATTTTGGGACCACCAGGGATTTTGGGAGCCCCAAGGATTCTGGGAGCATCAGGAGATTCCAAAAGCACCAGAAATTTTGGGACCACCAGGGATTCTGGGAGCACCAGGAGATTCCAAAAACACCAGGGATTTTGGGACCACCAGCAATTTTGGGAGCACCAGGGATTCCAGGAGCTCCAGGGATTTTGGGGACCACCAGGAGATCCCAAAAGCACCAGGGATTCTGGGACCACCAGGGACTTCGGGAATTTTGGGAGCACCAGGGGTTCCGGGAGCCCCAGGAATTCCGGGAGCCCCAACCATTCATGGACCCACCTTCCCCCTTGACCTTTTCCCTTTCTCATCCCCCCCAAAAATCCAACCCCCCCTGGGCCTTCCCAACATTTTCCAGCCGGGGGAGCCGCCGTATTCCAGCCATTCCAGCACCAACACCCTGTCCAGCACCGCCTCCAGCGGCCACAGCGACGAGCGCTGGTCCGACCCGGCCGATCCCGCGGGCTCCGACCCGATCCCGACCCCAATCCCAGCCCCAATCCCACCAAGGGCGGCTCCAGCGACAGCGGCATCGACGCCCCCGCCAGAGCCGGCCCCCAGCGGGACGCCAAGATTCCCAAATCCAGCAGCGGCGGCGCCGCCGATTCCAGGCGGGATCCGTCCCCCCCCTCCGGGAAGAGCTGCCGGCAGAAAAGCGGGAATTCCGCCGCCCCCGACGCCTTCAAGCCCAGGTGGGGGCGGCGTCCCCCTCATCCCTGGATCCCCCACACCCCCTGGATCGGCAGGGGGGTGGTGATTTTTTTGGGAATTCCCACGTGGTGATCCCGCTTTTCCCGGCAGTTCCAGCCCCCGGCCCCTCCTCCCCTCCTCGGCCGCCCCCCAACTTTCCGCTTCCGTCCCCAAATCCTTCTTCTCCAAGACCCCGGCAGGAGCTAAAGGCGGCGGCGCCGGATGGAAACGGCCCGAGGAGCCCCTCGAGCCCAGAAAGTGAGTGGGGGACCCAAAAACAGGGGCGGGACCCTGAAAATGGGGATCGAGGGCACAGGAGCCCAAAATGGGGGCAGGACCCCAAAATGGGATCGAGGGCACAGGAGCCCAAAAAGTAGGGCAGGACCCCAAAATGGGGTCAGGGGCACAGGAGCCCAAAATGGGGGGGCAAGACCCCAAAAAGGGGGTCAGGGGCACAGGAGCCCAAAAAAGGGGGGGCAGGACCCCAAAAATGGGGTCAGGGGCACAGGAGCCCAAAATGGGGGGGCAAGACCCCAAAAAGGGGGTCAGGGGCACAGGAACCCAAAATGGGGGGGCAGGACCCTGAAAATGGGGGTCAAAGGACACAGGAGCCCAAAATGGGGGACAGGACCCCAAAAATGGGGATTGAGGGCACAGGAGCCCAAAAAGGGGGGGCAGGACCCTAAAAAAGGGGGTCAAAGGCAAAGGAGCCTCAAATGGGATTTTTGGGGTGTTTGAGGGATCCCTGTAGGATTTTGGGATTCCCCCATGGATTTTGGGATCCCCCAATCCCCATTTTCCCCCCCATAGACAGGTGAATGTCTTCGCCAGCCCCGTCCTCCGGGACCTTCACCCCTGGGATTTTTGGGTTCCCCTCAGGATTGGGGTTTCCCCATGGATTTTGGGATTCCCCATGGATTTTGGGATCCCCAATCCCCATTCCCCCCAGGCAGGTGAATGTCTTCGGCCAGCCCCGTCTCCGGGACCTTCACCCTGGGATTTTGGGGTTCCCTTAGGATTGGGGATCCTTTGGGATTTGGGGTGTCCCCCATGGATTTTGGGATTCCCCATAGATTTTGGGATCCCCCAATCCCCATTTCCCCCCGCCAGACAGGTCAATGTCTTCGACCAGCCCCATCTCCGGGACCTTCACCCCTGGGATTTTTGGGGTTCCCCTCAGGATTGTGGGGTTTTTTTGGGTTCCCCTCAGGATTGGGGTGTCCCCCATGGATTTTGGGATTCCCCCATAGATTTTGGGATCCCCCAATCCCCATTTCCCCCCCACAGACAGGTGAATGTCTTCGGCCAGCCCCGTCTCCGGGACCTTCACCCCTGGGATTTTTGGGGTTCCCTTTAGGATTGGGAGATCCCTTTGGGATTTGGGGTGTCCCCCATGGATTTTGGGATTCCCCCATAGATTTTGGGATCCCCCAATCCCCATTTCCCCCCCATAGACAGGTGAACATGTTGGGGCAGCCCCATCTACGGGACCTTCACCCCTGGGATTTTTGGGGTTCCCCTCAGGATTGTGGGGTTTTTGGGTTCCCTCAGGATTGGGGTGTCCCCCATGGATTTTGGGATTCCCCATAGATTTTGGGATCCCCAATCCCCATTTCCCCCAGGCAGGTGAATGTCTTCGGCCAGCCCTGCCTCCGGATCTTCACCCTGGGATTTTTGGGGTTCCCTCAGGATTGTGGGGTTTTTTGGGTTCCCCTCAGGATTGGGGTGTCCCCCATAGATTTTGGGATCCCCCAATCCCCATTTCCCCCCCCCAGACAGGTGAATGTCTTCGGCCAGCCCCGTCTCTGGGATCTTCACCCCTGGGATTTTTGGGGTTCCCTTTAGGATTGGGGTGTCCCCCATGGATTTGGGATTCCCCCATAGATTTTGGGATCCCCCAATCCCCATTTCCCCCCCCCAGACAGGTGAATGTCTTCGGCCAGCCCCGTCTCCGGGACCTTCACCCCTGGGATTTTTGGGGTTCCCTTTAGGATTGGGGGATCCCTTTGGGATTTGGGGTGTCCCCCATGGATTTTGGGATTCCCCCATGGATTTTGGGATTCCCCCATGGATTTTGGGATCCCCCAATCCCCATTTCCCCCTCCCAGACAGGTGAATGTCTTCGGCCAGCCCCGTCTCCGGGCCTCGCTCCGCGACCTCCGCTCCCCCCGGCGCGCCCCCAAATCCAGCATCGAGGACGACCTGAAGCGCCTCATCCTCATGGATTCCTCGGCCCCCGAGCCGGAAACCCCTGTGAGAGGGAATTCCGAAATTCCCAGCCTTTGCCCCTCCCCTTCCCTCCCCCCAGAGGGTGACCCCCCAAATTCCCGTGCAGCCCCTGCAGAGGACGCTGTCGGACGAGAGTCTGTGCGGGGGGCGCCGGACCCTCTGATCCCAAATCCCGCATCCCAACCCTGGATCCCGAGGCGTCCCGGGGTTTATCCTCCAGCACCCTGCCCAGCCGCGGCAGCACCCCCAGGACAGGAAGGGTGAGGGGTTTGGGGGTCAGAGGGGGAGTTGGGGATTTAGGGGTGTTTGGGGGTGGGAAGGAGGTTTGAGGGGAATTGGGGATTTGGGGTTCAAAGGGGAATTTGGGGGCTTGGAGGTGGGAAAGGGGGTTTGAGTGGGAATTGGGGGATTTGGGGGTCAAAGGGGGATTTGGGGGATTTAGGGGGTGGGAAAGGGGGTTTGAGTGGAATTGGGGGATTTGCAGGGTCAAAGGGGAATTTGGGGGTTTGGGGGTGGGAAAGGGGGTTTGAGTGGGAATTGGGGATTTGGGGGTCAGAGGGGAATTTGAGGGGGTTTGTGGGTGGGAGAGGGGGTTTGAGTGGAATTGGGGGATTTGCAGGGTCAAAGGGGAATTTGGGGGTTTGGGGTGGGAAAGGGGATTTGAGTGGCAGTTGGGGGATTTGGGGTGTCAAAGGGGAAAGGATTTAAGAGGAATTTGGGGTGTTTGGGGGTCAAAGGGGAATTTGGGGGGTTTGGGGGTGGAAAGGGGGTTTGGGAATTGGGGGATTTGGGGGTCAAAGGGGATTTAGGGGGTGTTTGGGGGTGGGAAAGGGGGTTTGAGGGGTGGAAATGGGGATTTAGGGGGAATTTGGGGTTTTGGGGGGATGGAAAGGGGGATTTAGGAGGGAATTTGGGGGATGGAAAGGGGATTTAGAAGGGAATTTGGGGGGCTTGGGAGGGGATTTGGGGGTTGAAAGGGGGGATTTGGGTGAAAAGGGGGCATTTAGGGGAAATTTGGGGGGAATTTGGGGTGTCCGGAGGGGGATTTGAGGGGGTTTGAGGGAATTGGGGAGATTTGGGGGTCAAAGAGGGATTTAGGGGGTGTTTGGGGGTGGGAAAGAGGGATTTGAGGGGTGGAAATGGGGATTTAGGGGGGAATTTGGGGGTTTGGGGGGATGGAAAGGGGGATTTAGGAGGGAGTTTGGTGGGTGGGAAAGGGGGAATTTGGGGAGTTTGGGGTGTTTTGGGGGGTGTTTGGTGGGTCGGAAAGGGGGATTTAGGAGGGAATTTGGGGTTGTTTTGGGGGCTGTGACTTTTGGGGTTTCCCGCGAAGGATGTGAATGTTTTGGGGTTGTTTGGGGTCATTTTGGTGCCGTGAGTGAATTTGGGGTATCCCCTGAAGGATGTGAATGTTTTTGGGGTCGTTTTGGGATGTTTTGGTGCCATGAGTGATTTTGGGGTACCCCCTGAAGGATGTGAATGTTTTGGGGTCATTTTGGTGCCATGAGTGATTTTGGGGTGTCCCATGAAGGATGTGAATATTTTGGGGTGTTTTGGGGTTGTTTGGGTGCCATGACTGATATTGGGGTATCCCCTGAAGGATGTGAATGTTTTTGGGGTTGTTTGGGGTTGTTTGGGCGCCATGAGTGATTTTGGGGTATCCCCTGAAGGATGTGAATGTTTTGGGGTTGTTTGGGGTCATTTTGGTGCCATGGGTGATTTTGGGGTGTCCCATGAAGGAAGTGAATGTTTTGGGGTTGTTTGGGGTCATTTTGGTGCCATGAGTGATTTTGGGGTGTCCCATGAAGGATGTGAATGTTTTGGGGTGTTTTGGGGTTGTTTTGGTGCCATGAGTGATTTTGGGGTATCCCCTGAAGGATGTGAATGTTTTGGGGTTGTTTGGGTGCCATGACTGATATTTGGGGTTTCCCCTGAAGGATGTGAATGTTTTGGGGTTGTTTGGGGTTGTTTGGGCGCCATGAGTGATTTTGGGGTGTCCCATGAAGGATGTGAATGTTTTGGGGTCGTTTTGGGATGTTTTGGTGCCGTGGGTGATTTTGGGGTATCCTATGAAGGATGTGAATGTTTCGGGGTTGTTTGGGGTCATTTTGGTGCCGTGGGTGATTTTGGGGTATCCCCTGAAGGATGTGAATGTTTTTGGGGCTGTTTGGGGTCATTTTGGTGCCATGACTGATTTTGGGGTGTCCCCCCAGGCCCTGGGGTGTCCCCAGAGCTGCCCCTGTGCCGGATGGACCCCGGGCTGATCCCCCTGCCCGACACGGCGGGGCTGGAATGGGCCAGCCTGGTCAGCGCTGCCAAGGCCTACGAAGGTGGGGACCCCAAATTGGGGGATTTTGGGGGGATTTAGGGGGTGGAAAGGGGCTGGGAGGGATTTGGGGGGTGAAGGGGAGATTTGGGGGTGGGAAGGCTGGGGAGGGGAATTTTGGGGTGGGAAGGGGATCTGGGGGATTTGGGGGTAAAGGAGGGATTTGGAGAGGATTTTGGGGGTGGGAAGGGGCTGAGGATTTGGGGGTGAAGGGGGAGATCTGGGGGGGTGAAGGCTGGAGGGGATCTGGGGGCGGGAAGGCCGGAGGGGATCTGGGAGGGAATCTGGGGGTGAAACGAATGGGAGGAACCTGGGAGGCCGAGGGGGCTGGGAGGATTTTGGGGATGAAGTGGCGGATCTGGGAGGTGAGAAGGAGTCAGATGAATCTGTAGTCTTGGATGGCCTTGTGCTACTCTTGGGTGGCCTTGGGTGTCTTGGGGGCATTTGGGGGCTTGGGGCATTTCTTAGCGCAGGTCTTTAATCTTGAGGGCATTTAGGGCGTCTTGGGGTGTCTTGGATACTCTTGGGTGTCTTGTGGCACATTTGGAGTGGTCCAGTACATACCTTTATGCCCTTTACATCTCAAAGGCCCTAAAGACTCAAGATCTGCGTACCAGGTCTCTAGGCTATCTTTCACTCTCTGATACTAATTATGGGCCCAGGGCATCCTAAAGGCGCCCTAAACATCTGGGGGCATTCAGAGCTATCCTCAAGCACCCTTCATACCCTGGGGGCACTCCTCAAAGGCCCTGAAGCACCAGCGGCCCGTAGCTGCCCCTGGGCTACTCCCTAAAGGCCCGGGAACACCTCTGGGGGGGCCCTGATGTCCCTCAAAGACACCCTAAGCCATTCCTACACCCTAAAGCACTCCAGTACCCTAAAGGCACTCTCTAAAGGTCTTCAGGCCCCGCAAGCACTCTCAAAGGCCCTGCATGCCTCTCTCAAAGGCCCATGCAAGGCCTCTAAAGATCCTAAAGCACTTCGGGCATTTTGGGGTGTTTTGTGGGTATTTGGGTGTTTTTGGGGTATTTTGGGGTGTCTGGGGTGTTTTTGGGTGCTGACCTCCCCAGTGCAGAGAGCCGTGGTCCCCTGTTCTCTCTCACGACCCCCGCTGAGCCCGGGACCCCCGCGCCCCCCGAGAGGCCCTCTGACGCCTCCTCCCCTCAGGTACCTCCAAAATACCCCCCAAATTTGGGTGTCCACCCCCATTTGGGTGCGAGGGGGAACACAAAACCCCAAAAGGGGGGTGGGAACCCCAAAAAGGGAGGGTGGGAACTGAAAAAGGGGGTGCAGGACCCCAAAAAGGGGGGTGCAGGACCCCAAAAAGGGGGTGGAAACCCAAAAAGGGGGGTGGGAACCCAAAAAGGGGGAAGGGGAACCCAAAAAGGGAGGGTGGGAACCCAAAATTGGGGGGATTAAATGCAAAGGGCCCCAAAAAGGGGAAGGATTGAGGACAAAAGACCCCAAAAAGGGGGAGGATTGAGGACAAAAGACCCCAAAAAGTAAGGGGAGGACCCCAAAAATGGGGTGTGGGACCCCAAAAATGGGGTGTGGGACCCTAAAAAGGGGGTGTGGGACCCTAAAAAGGGGATGTGGGACCCTAAAAGTGAGTGGGGGATGCCCCAAAAAGGGGGGTGGGACCCTAAAAAGGGAGGGGATTGAGTACAAAGGACCCCAAAAACTAGAAGGGGGGACCCCAAAAAGGGGGTTTTTTGGGAGCACTGAGGGCTGGGGGGGGTCCCCAAAACCCCTTTGGGGTGGGGACGGGGGACACACCCAGGGGTCCCCTCCTTGGGGTGGGGGTCCCCAAAATCTTATGGGGTATGGGGGGTTTGGGGTTCACCCTGAGGGTGTTTCCTTCCCCTTGAAATTTGGGGGTGGGGGAGCAGGGAGGATCTTGGGGACCCTCCCACGGTTGGGGTCCCCAAACTCCCTGTGCCCCCTCCAGCCACCCCCAGCCCCCTGGACCTGCCAGGGAAGGTTTCCCAGCTGGAAGCGATGCTGAAACAGCTCCACAGTGACCTGGAAAAGGTGAGGGAAGGGGGGCCCCAAAAACTGGGGGGGGACCCCAAAAAACCAGGGGGGGACCCCAAAAACCGAGGGGGGGCCAAAATCCTAAAGAAAGAGGGGGTTGGGGGGGAAAGGACCCCGAAAAAGTGAGTGGGGACCCCAAAAAGGGGGGCAGGACCCTAAAAAGAGGGAGGAGTTGAGGGCAAAGGATCCAGAAAAAGTGAGGGAGGGACCCTAAAAATGGGGGGCAGGAGCCTAAAAAGGGGGTGGGGACCCCAAAAATGAGGTGCAGGACCCCAAAAAAACAGGTGGGGGCCAAAATCCCAAAGGAAGGGGGGGCTGGGGGGCAAAGGACCCCGAAAAAGGGGGGGCAGGACCCCAAAAATGAGTGGGAAGCCCAGAAAGGGGGGGCAGGACCCTAAAAAGGGAGGAGTTGAGGGCAAAGGACCCCCAAAAAAGTGAGTGGGGACCCCAAAAATGGGGGGAAGGACCCCAGAAAGGGGTTGGGGACCCTAAAAATGGGGGGCAGGATCCCAAATCAGGGTGTCCTGGTCCAGGCTGTCCCTGTCACCCCAGGAGCAGCAGCACAAGGGGGTTTTCTAGACCCAAAAAACAGGTGCAGGATCCCAAAAAGGGGGTGCAGGACCCCAAAAAAAGGGGGAAATGGGAACACAGGACCCCAAAAAAGGGGGAAATGAGGGTGCAGGACCCCAAAAAGGGGGTGTAGGACCCCAAAAGGACCCCAAATGGGGGTGTCCTGGTCCAGGCTGTCCCTTTTCCCCCCAGGAGAAGCAGGACAAGTTGGTCCTGCAGACCCCAAAAAGGGG